GTGCATTGTCAAACTGAGAAAGTAAAGGAACATTCGTCTTCCAAGCAGTGGGAAGTGTGCATGTTACTTTTTGATGATTTTGCAACTGGAGTGAATATAGCCAACGACGGTGTTTTGCGTAGTCTGATAGATGTCCTTATACAGTTACAAAATAGATTCCAGCTAACTTTTGAACTTAATGCTGCACTCAGCTAAGGGGGTCAGGTTGAAGTACTTTGTCTGCCAAGGCATTCCCTAGCTGCAGGATCTCAGAGCACCTTCTCCTCTTGCTGAAGGGAAGCACTTTGCCTCCGCAGAGCTCTCCAGTGTGCATTCATTCATTTTCATGGGTAGAAAGGGGATGACCTAATAAGGTCAGAAGACTGCAAATCATTGGGAAATTGTTGGGGGGCACCATCTAGAAGTCCTGCCCATGTGCAAAATGCTGGTTGGCTCAGAACTGTTTACCGGACATCGTGGGCAGGCAAAGTATTTATCATGGATAATAAACTTTGACCTTTTTTGTGTGATGGATTGTGTCTACGAAAAGAGGTGTGTGACGGCCTACAGTGAAAAGGCAGTTTCCCTGGAAGGAGGGACATATTCCAAGAGGGTGTGTGAGAGAGAGACAAAAGGCATCACAGGCCAGATCTGGATGCAAGACAGAGGAAATGAGTTACGATCACCATTCCCTAGAACCTTCCAGTGTACATCTGTTAGGGTTAGAGTAGTAGAATTAGGCTTAGTATGGCAATAGTCTGGTGTGAATAAATGCAGTACTGAACTTTGACTGGAGTGTTCTATGTTATTCTTGATCTGGACCTGACCTGTCAGCCATAAAATAGTGAAACTGCACATGACTGAGAGGTGTTTGATCACAGTGGGTAACAAAAAATAAATTCCAAAATTAGGACCACCTCTGTTATGTACATATTGTATTGATTGGCTGGTTTTAACTAAAAGTTTTATATTAACTAATAATTATAAATTCTCAAAGGTTGGTCTTACCAGGAGTCTGTGCATAAATACATGAATAAATAAATAATAAGTTCAGTTGATCACTTCAGTATAATTAAGCATAAGGAAATAGCACGGATGTAAAAAAAATACCAACATAAATCACAATAGTTTAAACATGGAAGATGAAAAACATAAAATAATTAACTAAAACTCACTTTAAAAACCTGTTATGGGATATCTATTTCCAACTGCTGTTCAATCAGCATTTACAGGACCAATTTAACAGACCTATTTAGAATGGGCATAATCCAAATAAACTGTTATTTATTTTAAGCATGTAATTAAGTTTCCCACAATGTTAAATAAAAGTTAAAAAGCACTTCACTTTTTCACTTCATAATAGCCATCTTTTAATGTTATAACATGCATTCTCCAAGAGAAACACCTATTTGTAATAATAAATTGTAAACAGAACTCATTACAGTTATATTGGAGAAATGCCTAAACACTAGAAGACCAGGACATAAATAAACTCTTTCCATGCATTTGGATTTGTTTGACAAAACCAACCTATAATGATGTTACCCTGCCTTTTATGCTATTGCACATTATTTTCACTCTCTGTTTTTCTGTGTTGGTTGTTTTCCCTTCCCTTGTTTTTTTTTACTATCTTGGGCAAACAATCTATACTAAATCTTTAAACAACTCCTCTAAAGACATTATTAAATCATGCCTGAGCATGGGATAAAAGGAAAACTCTCCCGTGAAACATGATGATCCCTGATTGATTTTAGATCATTTACATTGGATAATTTGGGAAGGTTTAAAATTTACAGCCAAGTACTTGCATTTATGGTAACTCTGATTGCTCATCAAAGTATCTGGAAATGATTTGCAATCACACATCTAAGCACTTAAAAACAGTAAATAAAACCCCAAATTACTATCTCCCCTGATAGATAAAATCCACTGCTATTCATGTCCATTAGAGAAACAGTAATACATATATGTTTTGCACCTTGGAGTAATCCTCCCCTAGAGCCTTGTGCTTTCAAGTAAAGGTCCCAAAATTTTCAGTGTTATAATCCCCATACATATTATTATGCAGCGGAAGTGGGAAACCTGCCCTAATTCCTCTCAACTACCTTAAAGTAAGCAAGAGTTTTATTTTCAAATTGATTATATCAATTTCCTTTCAAATGATTCTCGTCACCAGGCATAAACAATGCAATGTAATCCTGAGAGTCTGAAGAGTCTGACCTCTCATTTAGAGGAACTCAAATTTTGTTTGCAGTTTCCCAAAGCTGCTTCCTTGGACACTGAGATCACACCATTGTGCCATTGGGCAAAAAGCATTTCATTAAGAATGAAAGAACATTTGAGCAATTAACATAAGAATTTACAGGAAAAAAAAGACTGTGAGGAACCAACTAAATGATCTACTTGCCTGGATAAAAATAAAAAAGAAAGTATTACACATACTTGTAATACTTAAAATGCATAATACCATTTGTATTATATGTGTAATAATAAGCTATATTTGCTTCCTTTAAATACAGCACAATTATTTAACATTGTCTTGACAGGAAAAAGGGGTTGGCTTTACACAGAACTATAGTTTGATCAGCTGTGGCCTTTAATAAGTTTTCAACCTATGTTCCATACTTTCTGAATCCCTTTATCACTGAGGTTTTCACCACTTGGGAAAGAACAATTATTTAGACCTACAGATCTTTTTCTATGCTCCTGTACATAAAGTAAGATAAGAGAATGTACAATTGTTCATCATGTTATGAACAATGAAGCTGAGGTACGTGTACTGAGCAGCAGAAGATGGAAAACAACGGTAGCACAGAAGAGAGGAATAAGGAATTTTCAGCTTCGTGCTTCGAGGAGCACGAAGCTGAAAACACCAGCCTGAAGATGACGAATGGGACTTCGTCGAAATGTCACCAAGACACTTCCAATTTTACGCCGGAGAAAACCCGAATAACCAAAGACCTACATACAAACACCCGCGAAAACCTCAGAAAATATATATATATAACAAACACTAGGATATAATAAACCAGCCTGTTTAATATAAACAAGCCTGTGGTTAAGAAGAGTCACTAAGCTTTCGTCTGGCCAAAACTGCCGGCTTCATCAGAGTTAGAATAGAAGGAGATCGGGAAGGCAGCTCATATAGCTTCCTGCCTCTGCGCCTGGCTCCTTGAGCGCGTCATCGGCCCATTGAGTGTATTAATCCGTATCATGCAGAGTTGTTCCGCATCAGGCAAACTGTCCTTGGCTCCACTGGTTGTTTTACAATCCTCAAGTGCTCTTTTAGACTCATGTTCCAATGTGACAGCAATGCCTGCCACACGAACAAGCCTCCCTTACATCTATGGTGTCTCCGAGGACACGGCATGGCTGTTGGCCCCCTTCAATGTGAGTGTTGCCTATTGGCTCAAGCACACCCTTAGGTCCAAGGTCATGCATCCAAAAGAACCGCTCCCCAACGGTCAAAGATCATCTGTGGTTTACAGAATCAATTGCAAAGACTGTGCGAGCAATTACGTTGGGAAAACTGCTAAAAGGCTGAGGAGCAGGGTCCATGAACATGAACTGGCTATTAGAAGGCAGGAGCAACGCTCACAAGTGTGGGCCCATATGTTCAGCTCTGGCCACATGTTCGATCTGGCTAACGCAGAGGTTATAGCTCGTGAGACTACCAAGGGTGGCCGCCTACTCAAGGAAGCCTGGCTCTCTAATGAAAATTCCATCAACCGGCATATAGATCTTTTGCCGGCTTACCAGACTCTTAGGAGATGGGAAAAACAGCGCCATGATCTGCTGAGAAGACATTTAACTCTTCCTTGGCAGGATTGGGGTGGTAGAATGATGGATGAGATGGGCACGATCTCTAAGTAAGACAATGACAGCATTTTGCATAATTGGGACGATGGTTCTATGGGTGAGATGATCACGACTTCCATGGACCGAGATGATGGACCAAATGGCCCTAAGCCAGGGACGGACATGCTGAGGCAATCTGGAAGGAGGGTGAGGGAGGGGGAAGACAGAGAGCAGGAATGCCGGAACAGCTGCTTGTTGCAGGACTGGAGTGGAGGAATTACGACAATGGCCTTGGGGGTGGGGGAGGATAATGGCCCTGGGAGGGAGGGAGACTGGGCGCAGGGACGGATTGACAGCCACCCTCCAAGTGCTTGCACACACTCTAAAAGAGCACTTGAGGATCGTAAAACAACCAGTGGAGCCAAGGACAGTTTGCCTGATGCGGAACAACTCTGCGTGATATGGATTAATACACTCAATGGGCCAATGACGCGCTGAAGGAGCCGGGCGCAGAGGCAGGAAGCTATATGAGCTGCCTTCCTGATCTCCTTCTATTCTAACTCTGATGACGCTGGCAGTTTTTGGCCAGACGAAAGCTTAGTGACTCTTAACCACAGGCTTGTTTATATTAAACAGGCTGGTTTATTATATCCTGGTGTTCATTTTTTCTTTTATTTGGTTAACATAATGCCCAGGATTCGCATTTTTAGTATTTTAAAAGACATATTATATATATGTCTTTTATATATATATATATATATATATATATATATATATATATATATATATATATATATATATAGGTCTTTGGTTGTTCAGGTTTTCTCCCGTGTAAAATTGGAAGTGTCTTGGCGACGTTTCGATGAAGTCCCATTCGTCATCTTCAGGCTGGTGTTTTCAGCTTCGTGCTTCGAGCAGCCTGAATATATATATATATATATTCTGAGATTTTCGCGGTTGTTTGTATGTAGGTCTTTAGTTATTCAGGTTTTCTCCCGCATCAAATTGGAAGTGTCTTGGCGACGTTTCGACAAAGTCTCATTTGTCATCTTCAGGCTGGTGTTTTCGGCTTCGTGCTTCTAGGAGCAATGTGTGATCGTAGCTGTTTCTTCCTTTTAATTGCCAGTGGGGGTATGAACTGATTGGATGAGAGTTTGGCTGTGTTCTGATTGGATGGAGGTGTGTTCTGATTGGTTAGGAGCTTGGCTGTGCTCTGATTGGATGGGGGGTTGGCTGTGCTCTGATTGGATGGGGGTTTGCTGTGCTCTGATATAATATGTAAGGAAATATTATAATATATTTGCATACAAAAAATGAATCATCCATGATCTGAATCATTCATGATCTTTCCCACCTTTTTGAGGTAATCTGTGCTTTGGCATATGTTTTATCTCAGCTATTATGTGCCTACATGCAGATGTCATCCAGTTCATTAGCAGATTAAGCTTAAGCTGTCCCTCCATATTTCTTCCATTCCTTCACATCAGAAATCATAAAACATGGAATAATTTCTCTTCTGAAATCTAGAAATTCATATTCTGAGTATTTTGATAGATTTCATGGAACACTGTCTGAGCCTGTGTTTAACTGTACATGTTACATTAGATGGAAAGAAAGAAAGAAAGAAAGAAAGAAAGAAAGAAAGAAAGAAAGAAAGAAAGAAAGAAAGAAAGAAAGAAAGAAAGAAAGGAGGGAGGGAGAAGAAAATCTCCTAGTATCCCATTTTCCCCTCCTCACTATTGCCAATAGGTGGGCTTCAGAAAAACCATGTCAACCTCAAGGACAAGGAAAAGAAGCAGATCAAGGCTGAGCTAAATTAAAGAAAGCAAAAGGACAAGGGAGAGGGAGGAGCATGGAAAATATTGACCAGCAATCTACAGATTAGTCCAGCAAAAAAACCACATATGGTAGAAATCTGAATATTAAATCGTCATGTGTTTTCATCTACTTGAATAACAATGATCAACTAGTTATCACACTAGTTCTCATAAGAACATTGCTTTAAAAGAGTCGCCACCCTTCTAGATAAGTGAGCGCATATGGAATGTTGAAACAATGTCATTAGCACTCTCACAAAAATGACTATATTAATGAAAGTATTTAGTCACAAAATACCCAATTCAAAGAAAGGAAACTGAGAGGGATGAGCTCTCCATTACTTTCTCTCCTTCAGATGCTTATTTTTCCTCCTTTTTTGAGTCAATTTTTTTATAAAGATGCATCTGAAGTATATGCAGGGCACTGAATCATTTTTGGAAATAAAGACTATCCTTCTAGTTGGCATTTTGTTTTCCAACATGCCTGCTTCCGATTTTTTAACAAATCAGTACATGTAATAATAACAATAAGAATATGCAAAGCAAAACAGATGAAACCCATGAGCATGAGAATGGCAAGAGAGATGGATATAATCTTTCCATAAATCTTAGTAAGGTTTCTGGAAGCTGAATGCTAAAACTGAACAATATAAGGGGGATTATAAAAAAAATGTTTAAGCTAATCCTGCTGGGTCTTTTCACCATCATATTTTATATTCTTTTTCTTTCTTTCCCAATGACTATTACATGCTTCAGAGGTTGATCACAGAGACAAAATCTTATGCTTCTAAATCCTAACATTTGCCTTACAAACTTTTACTGTTTTTTTTTTTAATTATTATTATGTTAGATTCGGACATAATTGGAAATATTTGGTAGAAATTGCAAATTGATCTCCAGCTATAATGTTATAATATTCCAGTGTTTTGCTGCTTTAAAATAATTGAAACATTATGAATGGTCTTAGCAGTCTTGTGATCTTATATGCCCATAAAAACCTGAAAGAAAATCAACATACACAGATAAATGTTACTTTAAATTCAAAATATATCAAAATAAATTCTTTAAGGTATTTTCAGAAAGCATACTGAAAAATCTTTCATCTTTCAGAAGGCCATCAAATCAAATATATTTTTATTCAAATATCATATGCTCTCAAGTCATGAGCTTTTGTTTTTCATGTAAATTTCATGTATTTGCCCATGCCATAATGTAATCATTCATAACTGATCTACACCCAAGCTGCCATTCAGACTTCATTAAATCTCTGCAACATTTACTAACTCATCAGAATAAAAATGTTCATGATTATTAACAAATTTTGAAAGATTTAAACAAAGAAAAAAATCCCAGAGAATTACAACTGAATCATATATGTGTCAACTAAACAAGGTAAAACTAATCTATAGATTAGATTTTTCTTGTAGAAAAAAGTATAATTATACAGATCTCTACAATATAGCCGATAATTACTTTCCCTGAACTAAATTATGTTAACTACTTGGAAGTATTTTCCAAAGAACAGGCAAAAGGGGCCTATCATAGTTCAGTGAAAAGACATCTGGAGAACAGTCCATAAATCTGGTACAAGGCAAACCTATGATTGCCAATAGGTGCTACTACTGGCTGCCTTGGGCAAGTCAACATCTTGAGCTTAATTCTTCCTTCTCCAAAAGTAGAATATATAACTGGCACCATTACAAACTGATGACATAGAATTTGTGTTAGAGCTGTGTAAAGTATTTGAAAGAGGTGGAAATCTCATACAACTTTTTCACACATTGTTCCAGACTGTCTGCATATTCATGCACAGAAAGTACTCCACTTCTGCTAACATGTTTTGCAAGCACATCTTTTGGATGCTTCATACAATCCTAATTTGCATAGTGCTTTAAAAATTTGTAGAAGTTGTAAACTTCATTTTAGTTAACTACTTTCTAGTTTATTGCTTTAAAATTTATCTTGTCAACTGTATCATAAGCTGTTATAAAACTTTTTTAAAATTAATTTAACAGAGGACTTAATGTATAATGTAATATAATCCAACCTCTAAGGTAAATCTATATTATTCTGCCAAATTGCATTTGGGAGGCTAAAGTTGAGAGAGAATTGCTTGCTTAAGGCCACCCTAATTGTTTGATGTCAGAGAAAAGATTCATATCTTGAACAATACATAGCTCTAGTCACAGTGCACATAATTGTTCATGAAATATATTATCTCTGTATTGGCTTGTTTTAGCACAGCATCCGAAGCCCTGGAGTACCGGCTTAAGTTGTTTAGCTCCTTACAGTGAAACTTATTTCTATTTCTCTTTCAAGTGCCTCACTGTGGAAAGTAGAGGCTAATCTAGGGCCATTCGAAGACATTTTGCTGCCTGAGGCAAAATCTAAAATGCCCTCACCGTCACCCTCACCAAAACTCTTCATGGAGAAGTCATCCAACCTGGCAGCTGAATTTTAATTCAGTGCTGGCTGTTTCTATTTCATTTACATGTGGCAGGATAGTTCAGATGATACAGGGCAGGCAGTCCAGTACATGTATAACTTTGTCTACCTCCAATACCTTCTGGGCTTTTAATTTGGATATGCAAAGCAAGCACGTAGTCACTCACGATAGGGCGGCTCTTGTTTAACCCCTGCCTTGGGAAATAGGATTTTTCCTGTACAAAGAGAAATACCCTAATACTTGACCAAGGGCTTCTCTAATATATACCCAATATCATGATTTTTTTAGAATTTCAACTTAGAACATTCAGCTGCTAAGGAGTCAGATTAAAAAAAAAAAATCCTAGAGGCCAGATGCATCATACTGGCTTTCTATTTGCACAATACTATTTAGAAATACTCCGAACAAAATGAAGTATTTAGGAAGCTATCATAAACCACATTGTTTTCCCTTAGGATATTACATGTTAGTCATACCCAGCATAATTGTTGATAGATTATCTAGGTTTCAAATCTATCCTTGAAGGCTGGAATAATTCACAAGCTTATAATAACATACAATATAGTTTATATATTTCTAGCCAATCTTGACTCAGGGAATATGGCCTGTTCACTTCAAGGGATCTGAGTTCTTCAAACAGGGCTAGAAAATACAACAGTACAAGCCCTAACAAAAACTATCTCCTACATTCCTGCTTATAACCAACATGCCTTGTCTCATTTGAACTCTGATGAACTTGACAATCTTTTTTCCTTTTATTTCTTGGACATTCTATTTTAATTTGACTCTTAATCCCTTTTAATGTGACTCTTAAATAACTCATGTTTTAACATTTTATTTTAGGTTATTAAACCCCACCCTTTAAAAAATATTTACCAGGTTAATGAAATATGTAACACCACAGAAGACATATTAAAATAAATGCACTGAATCACAACCACACTACAGTCCTTGATATAGAAGTAGAATAAAAATGAAACCAAATACAAAATTCTGATGATTCAGTGTAACATAAGGGCCATATCTGAAAACTTGCTTTCACAATATTTCCCAAGGATTTATTAGTAAGATAGAATTGCTAGTAGAAGAGTAGAGACACCCAGCTAGATATATATACATCATTGCATTATAAATGTGCAACTAATTCCAAATGTGTTCTCTCATTTATACAGAAGTTCTGCAGACAAAACTATGAGAACCTCATCATGAACTTTTGTGTAAGTTTTTACAAATGCATGGGATGCAATATTTTATAATTCACCTGCAAAGAGCAATTTCAACAAACTTTACAAGTAGTAGCATTACATATTTGCAAAAGTACACACCATTTTAAGGATCCAACAAAACAAATACAGACATTCAAGCCAGGCTTGTTCTTATAATAAATCTGCATCAAGTGTGCTTTTATATTCCGATGTCCTTATTAGTGATTAACACATAATTATTTATTATTTGGTATGCAGTATTCAAAAATAAGTGTAAATCAACACACAAAGCATTCTCTGATCTCATTGTTCAACATATTTAAAAGGCTACAGCAAATTGATCTCCTATGTCTGTTGTAAGGTCACAGAAATTGATAACCTTTACAAGCTCTGATTATATAAGCCTGTCTGTGTCTTACAGATAGCAGCACTTGGTGAATTAATCCTCTGAAGGCAAATATATTGTAAGTACCTTGTTATCTCCAAAGTACTAAATTGAAGAATACATGGGATTATATTGACAGAAATTACATTTTCTATAATAGAGTTTAATATATCTGAAGCCCCTCTCTTTGGTCTCTAGTCATTCTGTCTGTGAAAAGCTGGTTAATGCAGGTGCAATAAAACATCACAACCAAATTTATTCACTAAAATGGATTACCCTTGTAATCAAAGTTTCAGCAATATTAATCTCTGACACTTTTGGAATAATAAGAAAAGAGAAACAAATTGTCTAGATCTCTTTCACGTCATATTGGAGCTTGCCTTAGCCATTTCCTGAATATTACTTCAAAGATGATAAGATTTCCATATTGTAAACAGTAATCTAAAATAACTGGGACAATTAATTAGATTCAGTTAATTTTACACAGCATTAGATTTTTATATAATTTAACTGCTGTTTCAGGGTGAAGCCTGCATTTCATATCAAGAACAAATGCAACACACTAATTTTTTTTAAACTGCATTTTTATCTATTAAGAGCTAAACTATTAGAAACAGCAAAAACTAAATATATTTTAAGAATTTTTAGTTTCCCTCCTAAACCAAGATTTGGGCATTTGTATTTCTGCTTGTTCTTTTTACTAATTAGTTTATTAGTAATTTTGTTAACCAACTTTCTCCATCATGGCTTGAGAGACATTAATAGGATTTAGACTGCTCCATGCTCAACTGCAGCATTTGTGAATAATATTAGATGAGTATGAAATAACTATAATAATGGCCAATTCATTTGTAATTTCCTAGCTGTTGAGAAATTGATTTCTTGAAAGGTAGCCTAAAACAAATCCATTCTAGCCAATCACCATACAAATACTTACAAAAAGAAACCTAACTATTTCCACTGCTGTGTAAAAGCCAATAGCCATAATACAGGAAGAATAAAATAACTGGTTCCATTAGCTGAAAGCATTCTCTAAACTATGCTGGATTTGCCATCCTAAACTAGGAAAGAAAGAAGGTTACTAAAAGGTGGATCATCATAATGCAAACCATTAGCTGCAAGTTGTCAGAGGCTTTAATGCTGATACTGGGTAAATACTGAAGTATAATTACTTACCAATTGTTCACTTGAAGTATTGTTAGCCCTGTGTCTTGTGCCAACTGCTTTTTCTGTTCTTCTGAAGGGTAAGGGTGCTGTAGGACAAGTAAATATGCATAAGTATCTCTAGCTATGTATCTATAATGTGGGTGTTTATTAAACAGTTTTATTAGCCATTTTCTTGAATCATAAAAATGTAGTATCTATAATTAAAGATGAAAATGCTGAGGTGTGTCACTCTCATAATTATTAATGGACTATTACATCATATAATTAATTGCAGTAAAAGACAAGTCAATTATAATGATTAGTGAAGTGTAGAAAGAACTGCCTGAGATACAAGTACTTTGATACTAAAAGAAGACAATTGTTGTGCCAGAACTAAATTTTAACTCTTCTTTAAGAGAATCATGCCTACTGTCATTTTTCCCATCTTGAATAAATAACTTCTTTCATATTCATGTTTTATGTCGATGTTTGGCTTATTTCTTTCCTGAATGCATTTTTGTTCTAATGATTCAATCCAGCTGTCTAACTTATGATTAAAATCAGTGATTGTATACACTACTCAGAATTCAATTGCTGTTAAGATTAAGGAATACAAATAATACATCAGAAATTCCACTTTTGCTGGGAGAATTTCAACACTAACTTTAGGAAGGCTTTTTCTTGCTTTTCCATAGCTTCCTGTTGCATGTTTATATATACCGGTATTCATTATATGCTGATATATCAATATAATTTAAAGAAAAATTATCAAAATTTTAAGATGGAACTCAGAGACAATACTGTTTTTAGCTAATTATTAGCCTAATTTGAAGTTCCCCAGTATTGGCATTGCTATAATCATAATTCAAAAAAGTTAAAGATTTTTAGTTTTAAAAAATATCAAAGGCTGAATGCTTTCTTCACATTTTTTCCTTGAAAGATATAAAAATAATATCTACATAAACATTTTAAAATTTGCCTTAATGAATAGTGTGGCAAGTACACTGATGGATTGTCCAGGTTGTAGTAATCACTGCCCAATCATTTTTGTCAATATTCTGAAGTTATCTATGGTTATATAGTGGAAAAAAGGGACTATTTTAATACTTTTAAGAATGATTTCATCATTTTTAAAAACGTACACATAACAAAAAAGAAAAAAGAAACGTTAGCTGACAAGACAAGGCAATGATGTTGGTTTTTATTTCCAAGGGTATTCCAAATTCTGAAAAACTAATATTGTTTGGCTGGAAGCCTACTGGGTCAGTAACAATGGCCAGAAAGCTGTTCTGGGTTAGACATTTCAGCTTTCCAACACTGAAATGAAAAAAAGTCTGTAACAGGTAATAAAGGAAAACTTAAAGACTATTGTAGCTTGACATTTTAAGATGAACTGCTGTGCAGCTACAGGACAAGAAGCTTATATGCTTTATTTTAGAGAAATAGTAAAATAAAATAAACACTGGAGACTTCTTACTATGTCTTACAGTTCTATGATAAATGAGTCTCTGATATAAGTGTTACCAGTTTCTTACATTCACAGTACTGTGATCATTTGTCTTTGGCTTTGTTAGTATAAACTTTTGGCAGACCATAATGCAAAGATTCACATTTTTTAAAAAATACCCATCAATACAATCCACTCTTTCTCCATAATTATAGCTTTACCTGCAAAGGTAACATGGGACCAGCAGGATTCATTATGCAGGAAAAATGAAGTCAATTATCCCTCTAGGTTCCTTGTGACTTCCAACATTTTATGTGGAAATGGTGATCAAGTGATATCCAAAATAACTAGCACTTGACACTTGCAAGCTATTTGTCAAGCCCTATTGTCAATGCTCACTTTTTCTAGTAGTACCTATCAGTTCAGTTCTAAGACAAGAATGGGCAAATTCCAATGATCTGGAACTCACTATTTTGGGGGAACCAAGATTCATAGTATGGAAACCAAGTTATGTATATAGACATAGGATTCCCTGTGTTTTGAAAAGAAGAATATTCTGTTTTGTTTTGGTTTTGAACTGTACTTACCTATTTGAAGGCTTACACTTCTTACTTTATATGCATTGCTTACGTCAAGATGGTGGAAATCTATACAACCAGTACTCAGAAATCATGACTGTAGGGCTTTGGATCACTTCATTCCCTAGGGACCTAAGTTGCCCACCCATGTTTTACAATAATTTAAACTGGGTTAACGGCCCTAGCTTTTGATATTATCACGCTGTGCTATCACTGAAGAAGGGTTGCAGGAATTGGGTATGTCTAGTCTAATGAAAAGAAGGACTAGGGGTGACAAGATAGCAGTCTTCCAATATCTGAGAGGCTGTTACAAAGATGAGAGAGGCAATCTATTTTCCAAAGCATCAGAAAGCAAGACAAGAAGCAATGGTTGGAAACTAACCAAGAGGCAAGCAATCTAGAACTAAGGAGAAATTTTCTGACAGTTAGAACAATTAACCAGTGGAATAGCTTGCCTTTGGAAGTTGAGGTGCTCCATCACTGGAGACTTTTAAAAAGAGACCGGACAGTCATTGTCTGAAATGGTATAGCTTGAGCAAGGGGTTGGACTAGAAGACCTCCAAGGTCCCCTCCAACTCTGTTATTCTGTTCTGTTTCACTGGGCTCATTTTGATCTTTTTCTTTAGTACAGCAATGATTCTTAAATTTGAGATTATATTCTTTTGCACACAATACAAATTGTTTGGGAAGTTTGAAGTCAGATTAATGGGATTAAATTCCTTAGATGTAACTACTGCTTACTCTAATGTTCAAAATCATATTCGTTCTTATATTGTTTTACCACCTTGCAACAGATCCAATTTTACATAACTTAGCAAACTATGCCTAATTCCATTCAGGAAGCAAGAATTTTCAGGACAGCCTCAAGCTACTGAGACTGAGAATTCTGTCTCCATGAAGCAATTTTCAATTGTTCTGGATCTTTTGAAATAGACGCAAGAACAGATAAAATTAGCCATCAAAATAATATAACTACTGTAAACAAAACATATGCACACACAGCCACATGCTGGAGTATACTAAAATATTTGAACAAAATTATTTTAAATTATGGTATGTTTTCAGTCATCTGATCTTTCTTTCATGCTCCTCTTCCCTCCCCTTCCTCATTGTCTGGTTATTGGCTTAACATCAATGTTCAGTTTCGTGAAAAAAACTGTAATTGCGATAATCACATGAAAGCCATTATTTCATGGAGATAATCTCTCCCAGGGGGAAAAAAAATCATAATGAGACTAGACTAGTTCTTTTAAAAAATCCAAAATGTTTCATACGCTTGAATAATTTTTATAATACAATTATTGTCGGAAGTCAGAATCATTCCTTCTACATTGCAAGAACAGCACTAAATAGACCAAGAATGAACATGCCACAGGCTAAGCCATGTTAAAAACATTCAAAGCATTGTTGATTCCTCATCCTTCAGGCTAGTAAGGCACATGCTACAGGCTACAGGAGAAACTGCACTGTAGCATAAGAATAGGTGATATTCCAGATAATTACTATTTTAACATTAAAACAGTGGAAATTCATTATGCAGAGTGGCAGATTTAATCTATCAGTCACTCCTACTTTGTACTATCATCTGGTTGTTGTTGTTATTGTTTCAAAGGAGGGAATCCTCTTTAAAATCAGTCAATTATTAACATCCCACTGGTTTTAGCTAAGAAGCATACTTATCACCGAGATCACTTTTGAGATATCAAAGGAGATTTGGCCACTGTTCAATAAACAGTGACTTGAGATCTTTACTTTTGATGTGTACATTAGCCTCATACCATTATCTCTTAAAAGCTTAATTATTTGCACACAATTGATCAAGATGGAACTTGAGAAAGGATTCACTCAAGTCTCTGGGAGAGCTGCAACACATTAGAAGAGAAAACAAATCACATTTAGATCTTAAAATGAGAATTAGTGATTAGGGCCATATATAAAGCAGAGCAGTAGCCAGAGCTATTCTTTCTGGAATGTTTTCCATTTGATCTGCATTAACACTTTCAAATACAGGAAAGCTATTAAACACTGATTATGTATGGTCAGATTTATGCTCCCTTCCCAGAACCAAACCAACACGTATCTCCCTTGAAATAATGCATATTGAAAGAACCCAGTGTGTATCTTTCTCTCTCTTATTCTGTGTATTATCTATTGAAGTGTTTCAAATTACAGGTGAGCAAATTCAGTTCAAGGTTCACAACAGAATTCTGATAGTCGTGACTTTTCATGAATTTATTATTTATTCAACAATAAAGAAAGTATGTTTTTTCTAATTTTCATTAAGATTAAATCAGAAGTTATTTCATACTATTTCAAAATAATAATAATAATCATTCTAGCCATTGTCTATCCACTGCAGGATGAGGACCTCTTCTGCATGTTTTCAACCAATATGGTCTAGAGCTTTCTTTTGCCAATTAGGCCCGCAATACTTGCTGATATCGATGCTCCATCTTGTTTTAGGACACTTTTGTGGACACTTTTTATCAAATGGAATCCATTCTACGAAAGCCTTAGTCATACAATGTATTTCAGAGCACATTGTACATTGCCACATTTAACAAGACTGGCTGATTCCAGATGACGTGCAGGGGAGGTATGTCAAATTGAAGACATCTTTGAGAAAAAATAGCCGGTAACCGGTTCCTTAGAACCTCTCCAGATAAGGACAGGGTGAGAGATTGCCCACATGTTATCTGAATGTCTGCTCCTCATAAAGAGACTACAGAACAGCAGTTTTCAATGGGATTGAGCACCAGGAGATGAAGGGATCAGTCCTTGCTCCCAAGTGCAGCAGTACCTTTTAAAGTACACTAAATTCACAAGCCTCATTTTCTAACCACTTTTGGAAATTTCTTAAAGCTATTAAACACCTTCAGAATGACAAGTTTTAAAAGTAATCAGGGTTAGTTTATCTTCAAATCAAATAAATAAATAAATACAAGCTAACAAACTTAAAGAATTTTAAATAAACAGCAAAAAGCTAAATAACATTTTAATCTAAGAAAGTTACAAGTGAATTAAAAGTCCAGATAAATTTGGAATATTGATTTTTACTATACCTTTTAGTAAATAACTATAA